TGAGGTCTACCTATGATGTCAATTACAAGCCTCTCTCATCTTTTTAAGTGGGAGAACTTGCACAATTGGCGGCTGACTAAATACTTTTTTACCCCATTTTGTATTTATATATTTATTTTTATAAATATAAATTTATATATGGCTCTCTGTATTACTGTTTCTTACTGGATCATATCTATACAAGTGGTACACAGTGATTGGCTACAGATGTACCTGGAATTCTATTATCCACTGGGGGAGTCAGTTTTTAGGTTAACTAGTATGAATAAGCTGGGAGGAAGGATACTTATATCAAGTATGTTAATTTTATCCCTGGGCATCCTTACCAAGCAGAAGTTAAGTATGAGGCAGTTATGTGATGTAGCTACCAAAAATTAAAATACTGCTGATGTGCATTATTTATTTAGTATTTATTTGTACATTATATGTATAGGCCTTTCTTTTTATAATGTCGCTGGGCAGCATACAATTTTAAAAGTAATAAGAGCAAAATGAGGTATTAATCTAATGGCCAACTTTCCTAGCTCAGTACTTAGGGAAAGACTTAGATCTTTAGGCTCCTTTAAAAAAGTATAATTGAAATCACTAGTGCATGCTTCCATTTCCTTCAAGGATGCGAACACCATTGCATGAACTTAACTACGTATCGTTTTCCAGGCAGTGAGATTAATCAGATCTAAAAGGCAGTGTGAAACGAGGCTGAAGCTGCCATGTCTAAAAATAAAACAGGCACATAAGTAGTGGGGGACGAATGCCAGGAATTTTATATAAAATATCCCTTTGCAGTAGTTAAAAGGAACCAAGTTGTTAAGGAAACAAGGGAAAAGCCATCAGACAAAAGAAGATGGGCTTAACCACATGGAATACCTTCCCCTGAGTCCCATAAAAGGGATCCTGAACCCTGCTCATTCTTTGAGTGGGCTTTGGATCCAGACTTGACAGCTTTTATCCCTCTGGCTAGTGATTGACAAGCTAATTGAAAAGGATGTGATAAATAAATATGTAGGCATGTCAGGAATAGTGCATATACATTATTGCTAGTGAAGGTTTACTGTTAAATTTAAATTCACATTGTATTCCAAAGAACCTGATGTGCCTCTGTGTTTGGTTCAAAAGAATGTTTTCTTAATTAATTCCAGCTGTTGCACAAAGCTGCATGTCTTGTCTGCCACACATACCCAAATACAAAGCAAGGGGGGGGGGGGCCTGAAAAGATCCACATGCTTCTACAACCGGTGAATGTGTGAGTGATTATAAGCTGAATCTGGATGCTTACGTAGTAGAAGGACCAGGGATTTTGTTTACTTTCTCAGGTCAAACAACCCACAAATATCAGGACAAGAAAGTGACTCAGTCGCCTTGCACAATCAGAATCTAACTGAGCAGATCTGAGTGATTATTTAATAGATGCCTAGAATGCAAAAGACCTGAATATATCCAAGTGATTCTTCCCTTCCTTACAGAGACTACTGGATGGCTACTGCAGACATAAAAATGGGAGAAATCATACTTTTTTTTTTGAGAAAAATCTTTAAACAGAGGCTCAGACTAATAGCTTCAAAGTTCCTGTCCATCTGCATAGGTCTGTGTACTTATGTCTGTGTACTTATTTAACTGAAAGTACAATTTATAAACAATAATTCAGTCTTTCTAGAGTAAGCTCAATATAATTCATGAAACAGCTTATACTGTATATTTAGTTATTTTAAATTGTACTTTTTATTTCATTATCTTATTGTATAACATAGCGTATGTAATACTTAATCTGTGTTTCCTTTCAGAACTACTACAGTTGGATTACCCATACATCATTTTTCTAGGACACAGAAAAAAGCCAAAATCCTTTCCAGTCAATTAAAAATAACTAAATATACAG